GGGTGGTGGAGTGGGGACAAAGAATTCTGGAGAGCTCGGTCGCCGCTGTGGTATGATATGTGGTATTACCTGGCCTGTTTTCCGGTGTTGTGCTTTAGTGGCTAGGTCCTGGACATAGTAGTGGTCTATGACTGGCTGTTTGTGGTCTTCAATGGGGTTTTGATGCAATAGAGTTGTTTTGTTGAGTTGTGGCGATGGTGATGTTGTGTGCCTGACAGTGTGGGTTTTTTGCGGTTCATGTCGGTGGGTGGGTGTCCTTGGGTGTGGCTGGATGTCGGTGGCTTGGGGCTGATGTCAGTGAGTGTAGGTGGATGTCGGAGCTCGACTGTCGGTGGATGTGGGTCACTGTCGATGGATTTGGTTAGTTGTATGTTGGTGGGTGTCGTTATCTTGTTGTACAGGCACGGAAAGTCACGCCATCACCGCTCACTGATAGCTAGGGGTGTGAATTTATTGTTATTGTTATTAATAACAATAACAAGAACAAAAAAAGTTATTGTTATTAATAACAAAAAAATAACAAATAACTTTTTTTTTCCGAAAAATCTTAGTTATGCTTTGTTACTATGTAACAGTATACCAGTTCTGTTTGCTCATTATTGTCGGATTGCTCGATGTTGTTACTGACCGCAATCTCCATTAGATAGCCTATAAAACTGAGAAAAATTCTAAAAAGATCTTTTCAAGTATCTTGCTCATCTATAGGCAAAATTTACTGATCGCTTTACGAGGAACGATTCTTCAATGCTCAATTGTCTTTGACTTGATGCGTTGGTCAAATATAAGCCTTTGGGAGATGAGAAAATGTCTAGAAAGATTGTACAGATCATAACTCGAAAAATGGCACCTAGAATCTCATTTCGCAAAGACTTTTATTTGACCAAAACATCAAGTCAGAAGCAATCGAACATTGAGGAAACGTTCCTCGTAAACGGATTAGTAAATTTTACCTGTAGGTGAGCAAGATACTTGAAAAGATCTTTTTAGGATTTTTCTCGTTTCATAGGCTATCTAACGGAGATTGCAGTCAGTAACATCATCGAGCAATTGGACAATAATGAGCAAATAGAACTGGTATACTGTTACATAGTAACAAAGCATAACTAAGATTTTTCGAAAAAAAAAGTTATTTGTTATTTTTTTGTTATTAATAACAATAACTTTTTTTGTTATTGTTATTGTTATTAATAACAAAAAATAACAATAACTTCTCACCCCTACTGATAGCAGCATCCGTACTGCTCAGCTTTTGATCGACATGGAGACACATGGACGCCCTCCCCCCCCGCTTCCCCCGATAATGTAGGTTAAAAGGGGATGGTTACGGATTGTGATGTGTTTTCGGAGGCTGAAAAATATATGATTCTCGGCGGGTTCTTTGGAGTTGCGAAGAAATTCCGTGGTTGTTCCTGTTTTGTTCCTATTGATTTAATTTGGATTCTTTATCGTTGCCGCTTTCCGCAAGTTTACTGAAAATTTTCTGCAGGGTACGAGGCTGTTTCCGGTCGTTTCTGGATTCTGAATTCTGTCGTATAATGAGCTTTTTCGGTACGATGGGTTTCTGAGCCGGAATATTGCTGCCACGTTCTTAGTATTTTCTGGCGAGTTTCCGCGGAAAAGATGCAGAAACCTGTTGGAAAAGGTCCGAAAGAGCATTGAAATGTGTCCGGCTCTGTCGGAAACCGGGGGCCGCAATTGACACCCTGAGAAGGTTTAGGTAAGTGCAACGTATAATACACTATTTTTACCATATGTGAAAATTTTGGGTGGGAGTGTGGTGTGGGTGTGGTCGGTGTGGGTTGGTGCAGGGTGTGGGTGGGTGTGGATGTGCGGGTGTGGGTGTGTGGGTGGGTGTGGGTGTGCGGGTGTGGGTGTGTGGGTGTGGGTGTGTGTGGGTGTGGGTATGGGTGTGGGGTGTGGGTGATGGTGTGGGGTGGGTGTGTGGGGTCTGGGTGAGCTTGTAGCTCAACCTTGTCTTAACCCCACACTCACACCCACACCCATACCCTACGTTCCTAACTCGAACTGAGCTACTCACTGGTGAAAGATACAGGTGATCGCATCTTTTACAAATTTCCTATTTTATTCTAGTCGAATCAGTCAAATGTATCTATTGAAGAACGTCTGGCCTGTGAGATAACAATGTCTTACGCATCGACAACGACAGTCGCTGCGGAAAAAGCCAGTCGTGAAGAAATCATTGTGATGCAACGACATAGTAGTGGTGAAACTTCGCTGGTGTATCGAGGATATTTAAACAAAGGCGGTAATCACGAATGTTAAGGAGTAAAATAAATAGAAAACCATCATCTTCTCTAGAAACTTTTTCATTCAAATCCCAACGCCGACCGACATCCAGTCTGTCATTAGCTTTCTATGTGCAAGGATTAATCGATAGTGTAATAAGCGAATGTTGCGAATTGAAATGTGTCCAAATAAATTCAAATGACAATGATCAGAAAAAGTTTCTCTTTAAAGATATTCAAAAAGCAAATCCATGTGAAAAGTACATTAGTTGATTATTATGTGCTCAAAATAAATTTTAGTTTATTGTTTCAGATGTCGAAAAGATTATGCGGATAAACTACTGTTGAATAATGCTAAAAATACATTATTAGTTCATGTGAGTTCAAGTTTTATATCGAATATATTCCTCAGAGCACATTTTATTATTTTAGAGAAACAAAAAATTCTCTCAATATCATGATGAATCCAACAACATGGCGAAGCCATCATCGACAGGTTAATCTAATGTGATTGACTGTAACCAAATCAGTGTTTTGTCTACTTGATTTGATAGATGATCATATCGAAGAAAAAGCGTCAGCCAACAAACATTCACAGCAGAAGAAAGTAAATGAATCGTGATTTTATATGAATAATGTTAATATTTCATTCTCAATGCACAGACTTCGAAGTGTAAAAGCCCAAAGTCAGTAGAAGCGTCTCACGTCCATCATACAGGTTTGTGGAAACAATCGGAAATCACTCTGGAGATCTTATCATAGTCATATCAATATTTAGAGACAATGATAACAGTTAATCCTAATCTCTTGGAGCCAGGCCAATCAGCAGAAAGTACAACAATCCAATCAAGTGTAATCCATACGAAAGAAACTCCGGTTGTTTCAACTATTCAAGCAACAGGTACGAATAATAACTTCTCAAACTTAAAGTCCTATAAAAATTCGATGCGTTGTATTAGTTTTCAGGCAAATCATTATCATCCACTTTGTTGCCAAGTAAAGAATATCGACATATTGGACATAATGGCGATAAAGGGCATTTTGAACATTATGAGCGAAGTCAAAAATGCCAGACTCATCAAAACAGACATTCTACCCCATTCTCATCGAGAGAGATTCCCCGTGAATCTTTTCCTCGTACCGTCATCGAGAGAGATTCTCTTTGAGTTGCTCCGCTGGTGCATTTTTTTGTCTTCGGAAATTTATGTAGTCTGCAGCAAGTCCATGTCGATTTCTGGAAATTCATTTGCTGTCAGAAAAGTTGTGGAGTATCTTGGAAACTCATATAGGGCATCGTATGATTATATCCGTTATGTCCATGGCCGCATTCTAGGGAAACTGAGTGCAGGTTCCGGAAAGTAAATTTCCTTCCGCCAAGTAAATTCGATTTCCGGAAATCAAATCTACTTTCCAGAAATCGGTTTAGTGTCCGAAAAACAATTGAGTTTCCTGAAAACTTATATAACGCATCATATGCGTATAGAATACTTTGTTTAGATCAAACATTGACAGAAAAATCTGAAGATAACCCACAAGCTTCGAATGAAACCGAGACAACCACTACCACTGATGGTGGAATAGATTTTGATCGATTTATACAAAAGCTCGCAGCTCATTTCAAACAAAGTATGCTGTATATGAATTTTATTCTCAATAACCGCAGTTGTTTTCGTATGATTTAGATATGAGAATATCAACACAACAATATCAATCGTCAAAAATGAAACGTCATCCAAAGAGTGTGGAGAATTTCTGTTATATTCTCGAAAATCATCTTCCAATTTCAAATGATGAACAACAAACTCTACGTGGCGTGATTAATTTGGGTTTTACTTTTGATGATATTAATTCGAAAGAATCCATTGAATTTCTCAAGAAAATTGTCAATGAAAGAGTTATTTTAATACTCTCGAAAAACAGTATGGAGAATTTATCAAAACCTATTCAAGATGAACCTCTACTTTTCGCGATTTATGTCATTGATTCATCGGAGAAAAATCAATTTGATTCGAAATTTTATCGAGGATCTTTTTCTAATATCACCAGATTTTGTAAACAACTAGAAAACGATCTTCAATCATTCACTTATGACTTAACAAGCATCTGCTCGATCCCTGCAGATTACGCTGGAATGAGTACGCTGAATTATGTTCAAGCATTAAAAGATATTCTCTTAGAAACCGATGAGAAAAGAAACCTAAAAAAAGAAATGATCGATTTTTGTCGTGAAGAATATGCTGATAATATTATTCAATTAAAATTGATTGATGAATTTGAAAATAATTTTCAACCAGCTGATGCTATTCATTGGTATTTACGGCACGAAACCTTTTTATACAAAATGATGACACGAGCATTTCGAGTCTTGGATCCGGATATTTTATTTAAACTTCGATATTTTATTCAACATCTTCACTGTCAATTGAAATCGCCTATTAATACAAGCGTATTGACTGTCCATCGAACACTTCGAATTCGAAAGGATCTTTTCAATAAGATGAAAAAAAACCAGGGCGCATTGTTATCATTTAATGAATTTCTTTTGGTTAATAAAAACCAATCAAAAATCGAACCTTCTCCCACGAACACAGATTCGAAATTGGTCCATTTTCAGATTGCTTTAGGAACCGATGTTTCTCGGCATGACGTTGCAACAAAACCCAATGAAGTTCTTTTGACAGCTGGAACAATATTCCGTGTTGATAAAGTTGAACCGATTGATGAAGAAGCATTTACTGCTGAATTAACGAGCAATGATGAAATTCTTAAAGCTGGTCAACTGATAACAAAAGGTTTACGTGATGCTGTACATGGTCCTTTTCCATTAGTACGCATGGTGAAATTGATGAAACAGAGAGAATTAACGGGTTATATGGAACATTTTTGTTCAATGTTAATCGACGATCCTCAAGCTGTGGAAGATGAAGCAACAAACTTAACTCTTGGAGGATTACTTCATTCATTAGGAACTTATTATTATGAAAGAAAGCATTATGAACAAGCGTTAAGTCATCTTCAAAATGCTTTAAAAGTCTATTTACGTGTTCTACCTGGTGACGATGTGAGATTAACACCAACCTATAACAATATTGGAAGTATCTATAATAAACAAGGTTTGAATGAACAAGCATTAGAGTATCATCGTAAGGCCTATGAAATTCAAAAGAGTTCGACCGATCCTGATCTGGATTCAGTCGCTGCTTACGTAGGTAACGTTGGCTCGGTTCTTATAAAACTTGGTAGATACAAAGAAGCCGTTAGCTATCTTGAACTTGATTTACAAATTAAACAAAAACTTCATCCGAATAATGATCATCCTGATGTAGCTGCAAAATATCATAATCTTGCTGGAGCTCAATATAAGTTGCATCAATATTCAGAAGCATTAGAAAATTATCAGAAATGTCTTGATATTGAACTCAAATGTCATTCAGATGAAAATCCAACCGTTGCAGTAACCTATTATAACATGGCAACAACATTCGAGGAACTCGGACAATTGCACGAAGCAAAAGAAGCGGTGGAAAAAGCCATTACACGTTTACTTTTAACTAGACAAGCAGATGATGAAGAAATACAAATGCAAAGAAAATATCTTCAACGTTTAGAACAAAAAATTTGGATGAAAAGTTTATTTGCCAAAACATAAACCAACAAAAACTAGAAATAGTTATCATAGATATTTTCGTATATGTGTGATTTTTATTCATCGATTCATTTTGATAAATATTTTATGGAGATTTTTTGAAGAATATTTACTCCTGATTTTAGATCAATCGATCGATTTTCGATTTCAATTGAGAATGGCTTCAGTTCGATTATCTCGACGACGAGAACCGATGAATCCTCGACCATCTATTATTCTCGATAGCGAAACAGCAGTAAACTTATTTTTCGTATCTATAAACAAGACGAATAAAATGATTTCTAGTTCAATCAATTCGAACAAGTAGTACCGATCCATGAAAAACGTCGTCCCAGTGAAAACAAGGCTCAATATCCGAACTTAACTGATTGGTTTGTGCATCTTCCTTATCTTTTTGATTTGATTTTAATATCTAGGAATCATTGGCTATCAAAATCGGCAAAAAAAAAGACTCATTCAGCCGAATCATCGGAAAGATTTACGGGTAAATCTTTATTCATTCTTGGTCAGAGATGTTCAGTTTCATCTGGAACGGTTCTATCCATTTCACAATTGCAACCTTCAACGGAAAATAGCAAGTAAATTATTTCGAACGACAAAAACATCTTTTAATTTATCCCTTTGCATCCATAAACCTGTTTTAAGTGATAAGATTCTTTCAGAATTGCTAATCGATCAATGGATATTTTTAGCTGTTCTAGAGAGACATTGGGTCCTAACAGCTATCGAATATCATCTGTAGTTCCATCTCGTGTAAGTCATTTCCTTCGATACAATACTAGTGAATGTTTATTTATATTTTGTTTTCTCGTTCTACTCTAGATTTCTTTGTCAAACCAGAATCAACAAAGAATTGAATCTACCTATCCAGAAGTGAGAAAGAATTTCTATAAATATTGAAATACTTCTTCGCAAGCATGAGTTGTAATTATGTATAGAGGATTTTGATTGGACCAAGAACTTTAGATAATCAATGTTCTTGTCTCATAACTATGAGATATCGATCGAATCCAACTTTACCTTCTATAGCGCATAATTCAAGACGTGATGAAGTGACGATTTTTCAAGTAGCTAATAATGGTTCTACTTGGATTGTGTTTAAAGGTTTTCTTAAGATGGATGGTAAATTTATTGTTTGTTTCATTTTCTTCTGAACATTCAATTTCTTGTTTCAGATTCCTTCACCTTTAAATCCCAACGCTCAGTTGATGATCGTTTTCATTTGAAACTTGAAATTAATGGTTCTCTTGATACAACGATTTCAGCGTGTTGTGAAAGTCTGTATCGTGACGGTGGCCGAATTGACGACGGCGACAGTTCATTTTGGATAGAAACTGTTGAACAATACACATCATGTGCGAAGTAGGCGAAAAAAACAAATATCAAAAGTGTATTCACACAAAATTTCAGATGTCGTGATAGCATCGATTTGTCACAATCACCTGATGATGAAACGGGAATTCCCACTAAGGTAAGATTCTCAAGAAAATGCGACTCAACAGAGCAAGTCCTACTGTTTTTGCTATCGTAGATGTTGAGTAAGCCAACACTGTTCGTTACTCATAATTTTAAACTAGGTAAAGATTTTTTTGTGAGATGCTACAGTGTGACTCAGTTTCGTAGCTCGAGCTACAGTTGGAAAGTCGTTAGATGAACTAGAATCAAAGGTAGAGCATCGCAAAATTGTTAATTACTAGTAATGTTATTTATTCAGAGTGCAACCAGTGAAGAAAGTGAAGCAGACGATGATCAGTCTGTTGGTAAGTATTCGAATCGGAGAACTACAAAACTTTGCTGTCTTTTATTCAAGCATCTGAAAAGTCGACTGAAAAGACTAAACCGTCCGAAGTGATACATGCATTACCATCAGAGGTAATAAGAACCACTGAAAAATCAGAATTTAAACGTTTATTTCGATAAATTTTAGCACTCAGTTGATCCCCCATCATCATCCACAGGTAGTTCGTAATGATAATAACGATAGTCGAGGACTTCTCCTTATAGACACGAAAAAAGTTCCTGAAAAGTCTGTCTCAACTCCCAAAATTCAATCACTTCCGCTTCCACCAGCTGTTTCGCATCAACCTCAAGCTGCAGCTGGTCCTCCTTCTCTGCCACCATCGCTATCGACTGTTCATAAAACCACTACCCAAAAAGGTAACTATCATCTTGTTCCTTTGACAATTTTTCGATCTGAGAAAATAGGGGACAAAAAAGATATTCACCTTTTGTCATAGACCCATCAGTTTCTGTTTCCAGAATGCAAGTCGAGTCAGCTGATAATGAATCTACTCTGCTTAAATACGTCAACGACATCATGCAACAAGGTATAATTGTCTAGTGATTTCGAATGATTTCTCTTTGATATCAACTTCATTATTGTAGCTTTATCAAAACCTAAACTTAGCCAAACAATTCCACCTCGACACGTTGGCAATGTTGAGAATTTTACCATTCTATACATCGATCAAGATAAAGAGAAAGATCTAAGTCTTCTTCGTTCTACAGTAAATTTTATACGTATAATGAATGATTCAAACACATTAGCAACATTGCTATCAGCATGTGCAGAAGAAAAGTTCATTGTTGTGATGTCTCTTAATCAAGCCGAAGCAGTTCTTCCCGTGCTTCAAGAGCATAAATCTATTCAATCAATTTATTTCCTATCGAAACAGACACAGCCACCTGAATCGATCAATAATTATGAGAAAGTCATTGAAATTTATCAAAATATTGAATCAATTTGTGATCATTTAATCAAAACCTTATGTCATTTTTCTTCTCGAGTAATCTCAATGGAAATCACATCGAAAGATAGTACAGGTGATCTGCCATTTACTTACTGTCAACTATTAAAAGAAACGATTCTTTGTCAAGATGATGAAAGTGATTTAAGAAAAGATATGCTGACATTTTGTCGCATTCACTATGCCCATAATCAAGATGAAGTCCATGAGATAGATGAATTTGAAAAATCCTTTATCGACACATATAGTATTCAATGGTATACACGCCATTGCTTCTTGGCTAAAATTTTATCACGTGCATTTCGTACACAAGAAATTGATCTTTTATTTAAAATGCGTTATTTTATTCAATGTCTTCATAAACAAATCCAATCAATTGCTATCAAAGAACCGACCACTGTTTATACTATTTTAGATATCGAACAAGAAACCATTCGAAAATTTCAAGAAAATGTTAATGGATTAGTTTTATTTCGTTCATTTCTTCCCGCAACATTCGAACGACCAACATTAATGGAGTATCAAAGTAAAGACACACAACGATATCTTGTTTTTTCAATTCGACTTGAATCCGACTGTGCAGCTAATATTGAACAGTTGCGTTGCTCTAATTGCAAAATCGACGTTTTGATCAATATCGATACTGTTTTTCGTGTAGTTTCCATGGATGAAAGCGAGAATGAAGTTCATACAGTAAACTTAGAGTCTGTTCCACGTGATGATTCTCATTTTCAACAACTAACTGAATTTTTAAGAAAAAAAATGAAAGCACCAGTGGTCATTCTGCAATTAACAAAACTTCTTCTAGAGACTGATCATTATTGGGAAGTTGATTATCTTACTGAATCAATTTACCAAGATAAATCTTTTGAAAGAGATGGAACATTATTGACAAGTTTAGCGGCTGCACATCATCTTTTAGGCAATGTCGATGAAGCTAGAAGAAATTTTGAAGCAGCACGTTATCAGTTCTTTAAATCGTTACGTGCATTTCAATTATTTTTACCTTATAATCATTTAGTGTTATCATCTAGTTATAACAATATTGGTAGTATGTTCTATCAAGATGATCATCATGAATCTGCAATTAAATTTTATGAGATGGCTCTTGAATGTCAATTAAAAGCATCAAGTCCTGACATAGATGCTGTAGCGACATATTCGGCAAATATTGGTGCAGTTTATATAGAACAAAAGAATTATACTGAAGCAACAAAACATCTAAAACGAGCAGCGATTATTCTAGAGAAAATGTCGATGAAAGACAATACAAAACGTTTGATTTCGATTTTTCAGAAAATTTCCACCTGCTTTTGGCGCACAAAGGAAGTCAAGGAAGCATTGGAGTACTATAAAAAAACATTGGATCTTCAGCTTAAATTGCCAAATCCATTACCACATCCATTGTCTGTCACTTATTATAATCTTTCAACTGCTTATGAACGTATCGGTGACTACGATGAAGCTGTGGCATGTGCAGAAAAATCAGTCGAATATTTAAGAATGATCTCAGAGAATCATCCAGAATTAAAAGAAAATCAAGCTCAATTAGAGATTATTCGTCAAAAACAATGGCTCAAGCAAGTTTTATCGGCATAGGATTGAATAAATGTCGATCAACTGACTTACATTGATTTTCAAGACTACTCACATATTTGTCTGTTTTTCTATCATTCATATTATTTTAGATATATCACGAACCAATGACTACGATTGAGAATAAACAGTAAATGTGAAAGATGCGGCGAATAATGGTTTATATTAGCAAAAAATTTTTCTAGAGTTTTAGCTGTTGATCGATCTGCAAAAAACTCTTCTATGAACAAGTCGAAAGAACCGTCATCATCGAATGACGTAAGATAAAATAAATGAAAGATTTTTCTCGTCATTTATCACTGGCTGCTCTAGAATACATCTGCAAGTATTCCTGGCAATTCTTGCGCGGTAACAATGATGTATCTTGGACCACAAATAGTGATATCCAATGGTCCTTATAAGTTTAAAATTTATGCTGATGAAATTTTAATTCTTCAATCTCACACTATGATTGGCACTAAGTCGGTTTTCAAAGGGTGCCTAAAACCCAATGGTAGTAAAGTATTTATCGGTATTCATTAGCGATGGCTGTCAACCCTTTTCTAGATGAATTCACTTTCAAATCGTATCGTTTGATTGATCATCATTTTGCTATTACTATCTATATCAATGGAATCATTGATCAACACATTTTTGTCTGCTGTGAAAAAGGTTTCGTTAACCAATCTCATTTTCAAACAAGACGAAGTTCATGTCAACTTCTGTCGATTACGGGTGGAATACCATGTGAGACGTAAGACATTATTGATCGACTCGACTTTTGTTCACTGATACGTATGAATTTCAATTAGTTGTCAATCTCATGAATTGATGAAATTTTTCTCGAATGAAATTCAACAGAATGATGTCAATCATATTAGACTTATGAGTGCTCAATCAGTTTCTCGATCGGTGAGTTTCAAAGAGGAGTTTTATTCAGTAACCACTAGTCCATTCAAGCAGTCTACGATGTTCACCAAAGATACGGTAGACGAGCAAACGCTTACCAAATTGGTTTCTGGCCCATTAACTAAGTCTGAACCAGTTACAGTTACGACGAAAGATAATACCGAACAGACGCCATTACTAAATACCACTTCCAATAAATACAATCAGATCAAAGACTCAAGCAAAGCTGAAGTAATCACATCAGAATTGAATAATACCATATGACCATCATCATTGACTTGATTTAGACATTGATAGACAATCAAGGACCAAAAAATGTCAACAGAGAAGAAATTAATCAACAAGTGAGAAAGATAATTTGATGAATAAAACGTGTTAATTGATCAATTGTTTCTAGGATAATCAATCGATTGGCGATATAGAAGTATAGTCAATTTGTCATTCTTGATATTTTTGTCATATTAAGTGATCTCTTCAACTAGGCACCTAAAGACGCAACAACAAAATTAAAGCAAACCGATCAAATCGTTAGCGCAAAAATCATGAATGAAGACAAAAAAAGCAAGCATCTCTTTCGAGAGGAATTTTTAATATTGATTGACCAAAGATACGTTCGTTTATTTTATTTTAGCAAAGGTTTCATCAGCAGCCAGTCTTAGAATGGAACAACTACTGACCAGCTATTTAAAATTGTTACTCCCACAGACGAAACCGAATGAAACTGCTGAAAACGATAAGATGAAATCATCGACAAATAATTCAGAACCAAACAATACGACCGAATCGCTCGCTTATTCCAATCCAACAGGTTCGTAGTCTTTCTATCAATCAATTGAAAAGATATGTTTTTGCAACTCTGAGAAAAAACAAGTGATGCTGAATCAACGAGGTTCTGTACAATAATCCTGAACTATAAAAAAGTGTTTAATTCAAAGATACTGAAAGTCAAAATAAGGAATTATAAAATTGTTTGACAGAGAAAATATGGTTCACCATATAATTATTATAAAACATTTTTTTCAATCTCGGCACAAGATGTGTCCTTTAAATATAGTTTATGGCGCATTCGACAAAACTATTTCATCGCATATTTTCTCTTTCTTTTACTTCAAGATACATTATTGTACTAATTGAATGATTTTTCTCGATGATTAACGATGTTTTTATCTAGATACAATATCGAGATTCAATGAATTTTCTTTTCTTTTCAGCATTTTCAGTTTGCCTATATCGCTTAAGTGCTATTTATTTCAGAACATATCCAGAACACATAGCTTATTTATAATAAATATGATAAATAACTATAAAACTACAGTAATTCTATCATTTATATATCCCGATGAGCAAGATAAGTGGTATATCTAGTTTTTTCAACTTGACAATCAATACAATGAAGATTAAAGGTCATATTCATATCATATATGCTCGGCAGTAATATTTAAGTATGATCCTAACATCTGCTGCAGAGTGCAAGTTTGCTGAAAGAAAAAAGAAAAGGTTCTGTCATGTACTATAGTATGAGTGTAACAAAAAATTGATCTCACGAGTAATATTGCCAAATGATACCCTCCGTTTGCCTTCATATTATGTCCATGGGTAGCGCTCATAATGTAGATAAAAGTGCTACAAGTGTTCGTGTGACTGGGCCTTTATTCTCGAGTGATAGCAATTTTATTGAATTTTCAGGTTATGACATAGTATTATAAAAAAGTTCAACAAGGAATTTCCGCTTGAAAATTTCCCCAATCATAGATCTCATGCTCCTCGTTACATCCTGAAAGTTTCAGCCACAAAGAATGATTCACTTCTGAGATAATACGTTTGTTAAAACCACTCCTTTGTCGCAAGTTCTGAAAATAATTCATTTTTGAGATACCCCGTATCTTAAGAAAAATTCATCCGTTTGAGCTGAAACGTTTATTCTATAATAAGGAGCATGATATCTATTATTCGAAAAATTTTCAGACGGAAATTCCTTGTTGAGCTTTTTTTAATAATACCGTGTGATAACTTGAAAATTCAATAAAATTGCTACAACTCGAGAATCACGGCCTAGTCTCACGAACGCTTTTAGGGTTTTTATCTACATTGAGATATCACTTGGAAATATCCCTTGTGAGATCACTTTTCTGTTACACTCACACTATAGAACACGGCAGAAATTTTTCTTTTTTCTTTTAGCAAACTTGCAGTCTGCAGCTGATGTTTGGATCATAGTTAAATATTACTGCTGACCATATATGATTTTTATATGACCTTTGATCTGCAATGTATTGATTATCAAATTGAAAAGACTATGCGTACCACTTATTTTGGTCCGGGGATATATAGTATTTCTAATCTTTTGAGATAAATTTTATCATCTGTTTCCGCCCATACTTGGAACCGAACCGGTAAACCGGTACCGGACCGGCCCGGTTTGCCGGTTTGCCGGTTTTCCGGGCCGGGCCGGTCGAAGGTTCGAGACCGGCCGGTTTTTGCCGGTTTTGTACCGGTTTTTTTATCATTTTAAGAGGATAATGTTTCATTGTTTTATAGATATCGTACATTATAACAGACAAAGATATCGGGTTGATAATTAAAAATTTAAGTATGAGAGATGAGAAAGAGATTATATGAAATCAGTACTGCATTAATCTTACATCACTTTACAATCCCGAATGTTTAATCCCGAATTTTATTGTTCATTTGTTTTCAGTCAATAAGCAGCGGTATATTTGCACTTTATACTGCAGTCTTATATTAAAGTGATGAACAAAAAGAATTCGTATCTTCAAAAATCAATTTTATATTTATTGAATAATTTACATTCTCTTTTGATGTATTTATTGTTTTTCTTTGCTAGATGAGAGATGGCTAGTGTATCGTTTCTTATTGTTTAGATATAATTTTTCTTATTTTGTGATTATTAGGAAGGACATAGTATATATCTGAGAATTGTTCTACTCTTTGCTTTTTTATTCAATTTATTTATTTCATGACATTTCGAAGGACACGTCATTCATCGCCAGGTTGTTACGAATAAAATAAAGATAAAATTGATTCATAAATGAGGAACATATGTATAATTGTCTCTCTATAGATAAGTACAAAAATTAACTCAACTCTCTCTTTTGTTTTTTTCTTTTTCATGTTCAAGAGTGGAACGGACGAAGAAGAAAAGAGGAAATATATTTTCTGTTTGTTCCAGTGTTACAGTCTCGTTGACGTTCATTCCACTATTGAAAATTAAAAAGAAAAAGAAAAGGGAGAGTTCAATTTTCGTACTTATATATTTACATAATTATACGTGTGCTCTTTATTTGTAAATCAATTTATCTTTATTTTGTTTATAACAACCTGTCGAAGAAGAATATGCCCTTCAAAACGTCGTGAAATAAATAAATTGAACAAAAAAGGTGAAGTAAAACAATTCTCAAACAAAAAAAAGTTTTCTCATGAGCAATACAATCATGATTGATCCTGATAACTTGAAATGTAGTCAAATTGAAGCTAAATTAAAATTAAAGCAATTTATTTTAATAAAAAATATTAAAGGAAATTGTGAAAGGTGGTTAAACGATATTTCTTTAGTCGGAAGAATAAATGAAAATGATGCAAAAGAAATTTTTGAAGGGTATGCAGCACTGGTATCTTTTCCTCAGAGTTTGGCTAATTATAGACCAGTATTATTTGTATTAAACAATGATTTATGTTCAGTGATCATCTTCGTTCATACTAACATCATAGGATCCAAATATCTGTAATATAATGAAGACTATTCATTCATATCTCACTGAAACATCGTTTCTTTTACACAATCATAGGCATATTGAAACTCATTGCATTAGTTGAGCTTTTATCCATCATATCTTAAAAAATACATACATCTGGTTTTTTTACCAGTCAAATTATATCATAAAATCGGCCGGTTTTTTGCCGGTTTTTTACCGGTATAATCGCAAATGTAAACCGGCCGGTCCGGTCCGGGCGAAGATGTCAAACCGGCCGGTCTGGTCCGGTCAGAAAAAACTCGACCGGTTCCAAGTCTGTTTCCGCCTTCACTATGTCATTATTAATATATAAAAGCAGAAATTTCTACTGCATTTTTTTCAACATCGGATAATTATGTGTAAATATTCTTGTCCACAACAGCAATTAATGTCACAGTTTACAGTAGTTATAAACGACGCTCCGGCAACATCGTAAGAAATCGCATACGTCAGCTGGCTGTGGGTGTGGGGTGTGTGGGTGAGTTTCTACTAGGAAGTGCCACACCCACACCCACACCCACACCCACACCCACACCCACACCCACATCCACACCAACGCCCATACCCACACCCATACCAAATACAATACAAGTACCAATCCGAGCTCTGATAAGTGTAGAGTTATAACGGTATAGATGTAAGAAAAAACCACTTAAGTAATTTTATACCTTATACGCATGGCAGAACTATGTTTGGTGAAAAATCAAGCTTGGTTTCCTCAGTTTTTCTTACAATCCGTTTTACAGTCAGAGTCATTGTGAGGGTTCTGTATTTTACTCAGCCGCAGAGCCCACAAAAAGATTCTGCAACACTCCTTTTTTTCTCACAAAAGTTCTCATTGAAAATCACACTGACGAGTTTTTTTTCTCATCAGCAGAGCCCGATAGAGAGACGAAAGCTAAAATGCAATATGCAAATTCAACGTCAATGTCAACAATCGAGAGTAAGGCTGAAAGTTTCGTTCTAATCTGGCTGGATCAAACTATCAAGAAGAACCACGATACTGTTGATTCTGAACAAAAGCTTCGTGCTATAGTCAACTCGCTAGTCACTTGCCGTACAATTAATGAAGCTATGGATTTCATGGAACAAGTTCAGGATCAGCAAATTTATTTGATCGTATCTGGCGAACTTGGAAAGCAACTTTTTTCTATGAATCAAATCGTTGACTCTTCTAAACTGAATTCTATCTATATCTTTTGTCGTGATCAAATCAAACATACAGAATTACTTCAACTCTCCAAAAAAGTACGCGCCATCTTCGTCGAAATCGATCCGTTATGTGCTCGTTTGAAAGAAGATACTGAACAAGCGTTGAAAAATCTTCTACCTATTTCTACTACATCGGGAACCTCAGCAGACGAAAAAAATCAAGTGAAATTTCTCTGTTCACAACTTCATCGTGATCTACTTTTTACTATGGAATATAATAATAATGCAAGATTGGAACTCGCTGACTTTTGCTCCAGCGTATATAAATCCAGTCCGGCTCAACTCAAGTGCATTGAGGAATTGAAAATTGAATATCATGCTGGCAAAGCAATCTGGTGGTAAGACAAACTTTGAATGCTCTCGTCAAATACTATTCATGTTAAGACCTCGTTGACGAACTGTGGATTTCCTTATTTTAAGGCCATTTATCCATTTTGAGAACGGTCAACACTTAGAGACGAAATACGATCACTTAAAAACATTAGCAGCTTCCGCTTATTAGTACATATTACGAATGTCCATGACGGTAAAGACAGATTGCTTCAAAAATCATCGCAATGCAGCAGCAACACACTCTCATTTGGTTCGAACATTGTTAGTAAATATGGGGGGGGGGGGGGAAGGAATAGATGGGATCAGAGATTCGTAAATCGAGAAACTTTCTTCGAACTGAACTATTTGCAGACGAGAAAAAAACGTCGAAAAGGTAGGCCGTGCAACTGTAACCAATAAGACGAACCAATTTTTCTGTTATCATTTGATGATAACGTCATGAATTCAGAAAATATTTGAGTCCATCAAAATGTAAGCCAATAACGAGTGCGACATAAAGAATGACACCATTTTTATTTTGCACTTTCATTTTGTTCAGATCAAACAGATTGTATTTTCAACAAACATATTCCTGACTTAATTTTCTGTACAACCATGTATTTTGTTCAATAAAAGTGATCCTTCGTAATTTTTCGCAATTCATATGAAGTTTTGAATGAACTACGCCAATATTTTAAAATATTGAAAAACCATGCTTCTCGAAATATATTCTACAGAGTGCATTTATTCATATCAAGCTAAAATTTCAGATGGAGACATTCCAAATTCATCATTTCGATATATTCAGTCGACTCATTGTTTATGTGAGGACAAAAAAAGCGCCTAAACTCCTCCCCAGAATAGAAGGCTACCCTATATTAGAAGGCCACCTTCATTAGAAGGTCACCCCAGAAAAAAAACTCACAAGGCATAATAGAAGGCCATGGGGTTTCCAGAAACTTTTTTTTAGAAATCCAGTGGATTTTTATATTTTAGTACTTAAAATCTCGGTTTTTTAGTAAAAAACCAAGGTTTTGTAGCTAAAATTACTTTTTTTCTAGTAAAAAAAACTGGTTTTACGGAACTTGACTTCTAAAAGTGCCTTTTTGAACGCCAGAAAATTTTTTCAAAAATCCTTGGTTTTTTAGGTAAATCTTAGCAAAAAATAGCCCACAATAGAAGGCCTCTTTTGCAGAAGCAATATGAATTTCCATAATAGAAGGCCATGGCCTTTTATTCTGAGGGGAGTTTACCAGATATTTCAAGTCTGAGATAAGTAAATACATGCTGTAGATTACATTGACAGGTCATGATTTCCCGATATTTTAACAAATTGTCGTAGGCTAATCAAAATCTCGTATGCATTTCACAAAATTAAGAACGATCACAATTAGTGGGCAATATTCATGAATATGTTAGTCGAAAAAACAATTTAGTTATCTGAAGAAAAAAATAAAAGTGCAAAATGCGAATGGTATCGTTCCTTATGCCGTATCCATTGCATAAAAACAGAAGTCAAGCAAAGAAATGGTTCAAAACATCCACATATGATGGGTTTAGGAATGTGACAACTCCATACAAATTTCAGGAATAGCAACCAGTACACTGTGAGGTGCGAACCGTCAGCGGAGCAGTATTTGATCGTGCAAGTGGTCATAGTCTTACGATATGTATCCAACGTACGTGTTTTCGCCAAACAGTGCATTTTTATGCAAAATATTTCTTTCACATATTTCTACATGCGGTCACGAACCCGGACCACTATAAATATATACTGTCTCTCATCGTTTACTACCATTTACAATGCGTTTTGTTTGAGTTGTGTGTAAATCATACCGTAATATGAGATCTTTGTTCGAAAATCGTAGAATGCTCCTAAAGTAGCTATATTTATCTGTAAACCCCTATATTCCGACCACTGTATTCGCCCTGCATTATGATTACTGTATCACGAAGATTGAGACTAGCCTATATTTATATGATTATTATTCATCTGTTTAAATGTTAATAATTCAGTTTCATAACAAATGACAGAGTTGGGTTGCATTGAACTATCGGAATCCAACTGTCAAAGATGCTTTGTCTTTTAGGTACACTCGACAAACATTTCTATACAAAATGCTCAACAAAGCTTTTTTGACTCAAGATATATCGATCTTATACAAGTTTCATTTTTTTATCAAAGATCTGCATATGCATCTAGAACAAATGCATAGTTTATACAAACCATCGTTAGAATCGCGTGTTTTTACTGTTTATCGTGGATTAAATATGCCCTTGGAAGATTTTGAGAAAACAATACGTGGCGAAATCAAGAATTTAATTGCATTTGATAGTTTTCTTTCGACTAGTTTAGATGAAAATGTAGCAAAACAATTTGCTTTGGATAAACAGGATTCCAAAAATGAATCTGTTGTTTTTTGTATGGAAATCGATGCTGATCGAATGGAACGCCCATTCGCGGATATATCTCGTTGGAGTGATTTTAAAAATGAACGTGAAGTTCTTTTCTCAATCGGAACTGTTTTTCGAATCGATGATGTAGCAGACAAAAAAACAAGTGATGGTATTTGGATGGTTCGCTTACTTACTGTCAGTGAGAAAGACGAACAATTACAAAAGGAAACGCAACAAATACAAATCACTCTATTAAGATTTTTCGAAGATGTTCTTCATGCTCAGCGTGAAGCCAAAGATTACCGAAAAATTCCCGCCAGCAATGCTAATGTAGCAAGTATGTACTACAAACAAGGCGAATACAAAGATAGCTTACTATTCTATGAAAAAGCCTTGGAGACTTTGAACAACTTAGAATCACCCGATCCATTGACAAAGGCCACATATATCACCAATGTTGCTAAGACACAGATGGCATTGGGATACGATGATAAAGCTTTAGTTTTATATAAAGAAGCTTTAGATATTCGTCGTCACTTGTGTCAGCCCAATGATCCGTCATTAGTTCAGACATTACACACCATTGGTCATATTTATCGTGGAGAAGAAAATTGGAACGAAGCTTTCGCACAATATAACCAAGCATTGAAGCTACAACTGTTATCTATTGAGTCTCGTATTTTATCGGATCCCTCGTCCATCGCTGTTACGTACATTTGTATTGGTAATATTTTTCATCATCAAGAGAAATATCAAGAGGCACTAGAATCGTTTTTAAAAGCGCTCCAACAGCAGCACGAGCATTTGCCGAAACAACATCCTGTTTTAGCATTCCTGTATAATAATATTGGTGCGATGTATTATAAAATGAAACAATATGATCTAGCTTTGGAAAACCAACTCAAATGTTTAGAAATAGAATCAAAAGCACTATCAAAAGAGCACAAAACATTTGCTGAAACATATAAAAACATTGCCACAACATATGAAAAACGTCGACAATTCAATGAAGCAATTGAATTTGCTCAAAAATGCATCGATCAATTAAAACTCCACGACTCAAAAGATAGCAAAGAGCTCAATGACGCGATACAATTGCTCAAAAGAATTCAAATAAGTCGAGACAATAGGAAGTAATGACATTCATTGCTGTTCTTCTCGCTCTTATTTTGAAAAATATCAGTGAAAAGGATATATATACGCAAATACCATACCGATAATAAAAAATATTTTTAAGTATCTTGAGAATGAGGTAAGTTTCATATAAAAATTCAGCAAAAATCCCATTGTTTGAAGAATTGATTGCAGCCATCACAACGCGATTCGATCTTCCTCAAAGATCTCCTCAGATGGTTTCGAATGCCTTTGCACTAAATTACGTACGATTAATGTTTCAAAGGAATAAATCCTTCGAAAAATGAAAAATTTATTCATTAAGTAAACAAAGTGTATGTGTGGGTGTGGGTGTGGGTGTGGGTGTGTAGCTGTTGATATGGGTGCGGGGTGTGTGTGTGGGTGGCTGGGTGTGGGTGTGTGAATGTGTGGTGTGGATGTGGGTTTGGTGTGGTTCTTACTCTAGATCATCTCTTTATCATTCACACCCACACCCAACTCACACCCACACCCACACCCAACTCACATCCACACCCATACCCACATCCAATATGCATACCTTCAATCCGTCAAGATTCGCTCTATACCATAACTTATCACTCTTACACTACGAGAATAAATATCAAATCACTATGGAAGCAACATAACGAAGTGTTTGCCAAGTAAAGTGAATTTGAATAGTAATATCAAGTTATTGTGATTCCTTTTCTGATGCATGATTTCAAAGATATAAAACACACTTGACAGAAGTAATCAAATAAAAATCATTTAAGTGAAGGTTTTATTGTAATTTTGTTAAATGATTCATAAGTGGATAGAAGATTAAAAAAGCAAGTTTCTAATATTATTATCTTCAAGATTTCGAGTTTATAAACGAATTAATTCTTCTTGAAGAACTTTACTGAAACGTTCCATGCCCTATTGAAATGGAAATATATTTCATAATGAATAGTAGTAGTAATAAGTAGACTTACTATTTCAATTTGTTCCAGTGCACAAAGCGAATAAGAAACTCGAACGTACGGATAATTTTTTGATTTATCAACGAAAAATACACTACCCGGTAAAAGTAATACTTCTTTGCCAAGAGCTTTTTCATAAATCAATTTTCTGGTATCTTCGACACCATAGATTTTTAACCATATAAACATTCCTGCTTTTGGTTCATGAAATGCTACCATATCTAAATATGAACGGTGATTATATGAAAATCAATATTTTATATGTGAAAAACTATTCAAGTAACTATACCTTTCAAATATTTATTAATAGCATCGATCATTAGCATTTTTCGATTTTCATAAAATTTCATAATTCTATAAAATAATGAAAAATAATTATATGAAAAATCTTTATCGATAAATTTCACCTTTGTAAATGTTCATCAAATCCTGATAAATTCCATTTTTCAAATAATTTCAATAGAATCATCTAATGGGTGAGCCATGCAAAGTTTGGTTAACAATTTCATTTTATATTTTTTTTTGTTAAAACTTTACTTGCGAAAGAGCACTTGCATGCATGCTTGTTACTTGTTGATGATAGACTATTTTTTGCCATAATGGTATCGGTGCAGTAACAAAACCAAGACGCATTCTATAGAAAACTTGTATTATTTTTCAGTTATTCATTCAATCTTACCCAGGTGATAAAACTTTCGACATAGAATCAAGTCTGATAACACGTCCATCAGTATCAATTGATAAGAACGATGGTTCTGGTTTCTATAATAAGTGCATACGAATAATAATTCTTTTTTTTTAAGAATCTATTAATTATTACCGTAAATTGAAGAAAATAATAAGGATCATCTTCAATAATTAATAGATTATATTTTCTAGCAATCTAAATAAAATAAATATATCAGATCAGATTTAAAATTTTGTTTTTCGTCGTTTTACATCATAAATATTTATTTTGCGTTCTAAACTCATGGATGCTCCCGTAGGATTAGAACCAGTTGAAATCGTATAAAGAGTTTTAGGTAAACCTTTTGAATTTGGCCAATTTGAAAGAGTTTCATTTAAATGTTCAGCACTCATACCATTTGAATCTGTCTCTATGGAAATAATATCAGCACCATATGCAAGAAGCTAAATAGAAAGATGAGTAAAACAAGTAAAGCGTTTGGTTTGTTTTTCAATTATGTACGAAGTCTAAAGATCCTGGATAGCAAGGTGAATCAATTAAAATTGCATCTCCCGGATTAAGAATAAGTTCAAAAACTTTGGCTACTCCTTCACTGGAACCATTCGTTATACATAAGTCATATCGATTAAAGTCTATTGGAGAATGATAACGAATTTGTAGCTTTTTTAACCATCCTAATAAATCTGCTTGCCTGATGAAAAAAACATTGAAACTAATGAATCACAATTAGATATAGAAATAAATAGATACCCAGGTGTAGGTGAATATTGCAATGCTTCAGTCATTGCAGAAGCATCTAATTGAATAGTTGTACCGTCTCTAACGTAAAAAAAAGAACAATTTTAGCACTTTTATGAACTGAAAAAGAAATAAACAAGTTCACATGATAGAGATAATCGCTTCTTTAAACGGAAATGACGATTTATTTGGGTTTCCTGCTGCGAAACTGATAGTTGATGGTCATGATTGTGAAAATAATTGAGCTGAAATATTAAATGAATTGTATTATATAGGTATATATATATATATAGAAGTAGAAGACTTCCGGTAGAGAACACATATGAAGACCGATCATGGATATCGAAACTTTTATAAGTCCAATATTTATCCAGCGTAGACTACAATGGAATCACCTTAGACGTTCCTTTCCAACTTTCTTACATTTTCTATGTTTGGTACGTCAAAGTGTTGTCGTCAATATATACATTCATGTTTGCTGAAAGCGTATAGCTTCGAATTTTAATCTGAAACATTTGGCACAACGAAAATTGGCCGCATTTCTATCTGAAAAGCTAGAAGCTTTAAGCAAAATCTCATATCCTGAATGCAATATGGAGCTTTTTACTAATAAAAATTGAGTCTATGGGCTTTTTTATTTCAAACTGAATTCCAAAATCAAAAAAACCACACCAATTTCTTCCGAATCAAACTTTTCTCGCTTGATACTACGTAGTCTCACTAAAAACCCTTAGTCCCCCCTAGTCCTGCAAAGTCCCCCTTAGTCCCCCCCACAAAAAGCTTAGTCCCCGCTTAGTCCCCTGTGCAGGGGACTAAAGCCTATAGTACACAAAACCACAAGCACACCCTCACCCTCACTCGCGCGCCCACACCCGCACCATGGGTGTGGGTGTGTGTGTGGGTCCCAGACCAACACCCACACCCTCAGTCACCCCCCTCCCTCACTCCTAGACTCACGTTTCAGTTTGAAATCAAGTATTATTTTTATTTGATAAATTCAGACTGAAATCAAATAGCCCATAGTATGTAAAAATTTGATGTTTTAATCAAATCTCAAAATGGACTCGAACTCTTTTGAGATATTTCTTAAAACATCATAAAATATCTATAAGAAAAAAATTCCTTTAGAGCAGTAGAGAGGGTCTAAGACGATTCCAATTGACCTTCATTTTTAATCATTCATATACACTTACCAGCTTCACGAATTGCATTTGGCTGTCGACGTAAAGCTGATTCACTTAAAAAACGAGTATAATCAAGATCAGCTACCATCTGAAATAGAACAGTTACATGGATATTTTCATTGATATGTGATGAGTTAAAAGTAACAAAAGGTTTCTTTCGCAAAAACATATCACTCTGATATACGAAAATGAGTATAAGCTGCTCAAACCACTCAAGTCTTAACAGACCTCCAGCTATTTTTTGATAATAACAAGCATGATTAGTTCAGTGTAGACGATTTTGAGCATCATTTGATTTAAATTCCATTAAATCTTGTTCACGTAAACCATCAATACATCGGCTTAGCTAAATATCAAGTTCAACATAGCTTGCATTCTAATTTTCACAAATGACATCATTTAGAAAACTAAATTATTTACATAACTTGATAAAGTTGACTAAATAAGAAGGATATGCGCCAACAGATAATCGAATTGAACATAATTCGATCAAGAATATCAGAAAACACTAAATGAATTTCATTTACTTTATCCATGTTTGGTTTAGAATGTGAAATCATAATAAATGGCCTCTTTTTTATCAATGCGACTTTTAAGTGAACTATGAAGAGAAAAAAAGCATTATCTTTTGAACTTTTAAATATAATCATGTAATCAATTATTTGATAAAAATAAATACCTAGATGCATAACATATACCGAATTATTTTACTCAGCGAAAACAATATCTAAAAGTTCAAGATGCCGTGCACATGAATGCGAAATTAATTGATTATTTCATTGATCAACATGCATATTTACAATCAAAGTAAAATTTATACGACGACTAAACTCGATTGTTTTGATAATTTTTTCTTCGGCATTTTATCTTTCGACATTTTTACAAAGGACCGTGATGATTAATCACATTTAAGTGAGTTTATTTCATTGATAAAAAACACAGTTCTAACCGTCAATATTCTTTGAAATTCTTATTTATTCTTTAATGAAATTTCATGAAAGCTTTTGAAGATATTCTTTTTAACATTCTGCTTCATACGTACCTGCGCAGTAAACCTTGATATTTAGATTTTTTATTAGTCGAAAATGTTACTAAACTGCAGGATTTCTGTAAGATAAAGTAATATTATTCAATGAGATTTTCATTCGGGATGGTTTGACTCGAATTGATATAATTAAATCTGAATCGAAATTTTCATACCATTTTAGCATCTATTGCTCTAGCCTATTAGAATTAATATATATCAATAGATCATCGCAAAATTGAACACTAATGACGATGGAATTTCGAATATATGAAAGTCAAAAGTTCCGAGAAATGACCGATTATTGTTGATTCTAAACATATTCCCATAGAGTATGTGCATCAAAATAAAAACAAAGGTCGATTTACAGAGCTAAAACTAGTTAAATACATACAGAACTTCTTGGATTTATTGATCTTTACTTTGTAGAACAATAAATCAACCCAATAACTAGTAATACAAAAATAAAATTCGCTATGATCTATCGATCATGGTTTTTTCTTCTCACTAAAAAACTAAAAGATCCTATGAGATCATATATATATATGTTTTCAACGATTGACACAAAAGCAAAGTACGTAAATAAAATTGGACTCCTCACTCTTGTTATCATAAAGAAGATTATTTTGGTCGCTCTTATCATGACCCTCACGAGTTATATGCACTCAGATTTGGTTACCGAAAAGCACACCCGTTTAGTCTTATTTTCTTAATTGCATTGAATTATTAGTCTAGTATGCTAAGCATCTTTTTTCGAAAATTTTTATTTTCCATCGCCTCAGTCATTCAATTAATTATTTGTGTTAACTTATATTCAATTAATTACTCTTCTTTACATATTGTATTCATTGGTATGTGTCAGAAGAGATCATTTTCAACATACGGAAACCTATCTATTAAATAATGAAACCGATGCGCAAGAATTATGAACTGAAAAAGAATTGACATTGATTCGGGTG